CCGTGATCCCAAGTTCATCCGCGCCTATATTCGTAAATCGCAAGCTCTGGTTGCCATGAAGGAATACAGCAAGGCCTTGGATGCCTGCACGGAAGCCGCAGAGCAAGACGACGGAACMCACACCCGTGAGATCGACCAGCAGCAACAAAAGTGTCTGGAGGCTCAGTTCAGTGCTCGTGCTGGCGAGACGGAGGAGCAGACCATGGAGAGAATCCAGAACGACCCCGAGGTAAGCCACTTCAGCCCTTTCCATTAGTGGCGCAGTAGTTCTAACGTGACGCACACAGATCATGTCGATCCTTCAGGACCCAGTCATGCAGAGCATTCTCCAGCAGGCCAAGGGCGACCCTGCTGCCCTGCAAGAACACATGAAGAACGTCCAGGTTCGGACGAAGATCCAGAAACTCATGGCGGCTGGTGTCATTCGTCTCGGTCGGTAAACGATTCGGGCTCTCGTCACGGAGATATGATGGAAATGACCTGCAGATACTCTTTTGCGAGCTTCAAAATTGTCCTTGCAACGGCTTACATTCCTTCAGAATTTGCAATGAGGTGATGATGCATGTTTGTTGTACGCTCTATTTAATAATGATATGTTATGAACATACCAGTGCTTCTTACAGTGTCTGTAACTCGAAGAATTACACCAAGTATGGCTAAGCTCAACCTACAGGGCCGCCTAGTATTGTATTACATCAGCCGCTATCTCGTGGATTGGAAGGAGACAGTCTGTTCTTCTTGCTATCTCGCATGTCATAAAGGGTACCGTTTCATGAAGGTACATCTGATGGGTATATGTACGGTGAAATAACAACATCGCATAGTGAACGCCAGAACAGAAAAACAAGAAATAATAGCAGAGACCGACTACTTGCCCAAGTTTGACTTGCAATGTGGGCAATACCAAGTTCCCACCGGCTCCCTTGTCAAACCAACACACTTCCAATGGAACCATTCGTAGGGACAATTGTCGTTATCACACGCGACCATGTCTCCATGACTGACACTGCGGCAGGTACAGTAGACCTTGGTATCCTCGTTGCCCTCCTCTTCCTCATCCTCCTCGTCAATGTCCTCGTCCATGCGTCTAGAATCACTGGCGTTGGAATCCGACGCCTCGGCACTGCTGAGGAGCGACTCGTCCTCATCTTCATCGCCGCCCGCCGCGGACGGGGACTTCTTGGTCGCACCGCTGAGCTTGACACGACCACTCGCGCTGGAAGAGCGTTTCGTCGCTTTACCATGGGCCTTGATCTTCTTGAGTTGTTGATGAGGCGCGACTTTCTTAGTGGCGGCCTTCTTGATTGCGCCCGTTGCCCGCGGCCCGGCGCTGCCTGCGCGACTGGAAGCCGGTGTGCCTGGCTTGGGCGTGCCGGGGCCAATGGATGACTGCCGGAGATTCGACGACGCAGCGGGAAGAGTACCCAACGATGCGTTGAGCCGGCGACGCTTGTTCTCCACCGCTCCTGCCGATGATTCGCGTTGCCGTTGTTGGAAGTGGGTTGTGCCAGACGGGGTTGCCGGAGCTGAGCTGCGCGCCATGCCTTGCGTGGCTAACGCGGCTGAACTTGTAGACCGGGCAAGCGACTGGCTGAGCCGTTGCGAGATGCCTAGTAAAGAGTTCGTGTTGCCTGATGTGGGTTGGAGAGGTGAAGAAGTAGTATCGGCGGCCGTTGCATCGGGAAAGAAGATCTTCGGCGGATCGCGGTACTGGTCTTTGCTGTTGAAAAGGGAGGGCAGAGGCGGATCATTCGGGAGTACACCATCGTTTTGTAGATCGCGTATCTTGACGTCCAGTTTCTTGATTTGGCGATCGAGCAGGATACATGCTTTCTCGCTCAGATGTATCTTCTCGTCCTGTAACTGCTGTGCCCTGTCCAGATTCTGTAGAATCACCTTCGAGTACTGCTCTTCTTTAGGGTTCGGCGTGAGACTGCCATTGAGTTTGATGAATTTCTGTAGACTGCTATCGCGAGAGTTGATGGTTGCGCGACAATCCTGGATGATCTTGTCCTTGGCCTGGATCTCTTCCATCAAGTGGTTGATTTCAGCTGGAAGATTCGCTACATCGTGAACAAACTGCTCCAACACGGAGGCACAGTCCTCAGAACCATGTGCCATGTGTGCTGTATTGTAGAGCCCGGTTTTGATGCACCTATGCTGCGGAATTCGCGCAGCCCAAGTCGTTTTATGATCGATTGGGATCAGTACAACGTTCAGAGGTTGGTGGCCGGGAGGTGGCGACTGCGGCCAAGAGCGTTACTGCCTGCGGAAATGAACCATGATCTGAAATTTGCTGACTAAGCTCTGCCTTACTGGGCGAGCGGTTCTTTTTGCTTCTTATCTCCGTGTAGTGCTCCTACACTCCCAAACTTCCATCGTCGGTACGATTCCGACTGCGGGTTTGCTATTTTTGGCGCATACACCTTTGTCAAGCATGCAGTCCCTTTGTCTTTGTTGTCTTAATTGCAGTGTTGGCCGCTGAATCCCTTAGATTGTTTGCTGTAGATCTTCTTGTCTGTCCTTTCCCTCAGCTAAATTCATGCGCTTGGTACAGCAAATCATGATTCATCTGTATAGACCCAACCAACGAACCATGATTCTCTTTGTGCGCAACATACAAGGCGACGCCATAGGATATATAAACCACTTGATATCTGTACATCAAGATATTCTCTCGCCACTCTTCTTCGTTCATTATCAGATGCAAAAGTTTGGCCGTATGACGTCGCGTGCTCCTTGACAACTGCATAGAGGTGCAAACAGTGCAAACCCCTTCTTATTTCGTTGATTCCCCGCGCTGTATGACTGTCCGGCAACGGACTTTTTGCCAGCGCTATCAGATCTTTAGTGACTCTGTGACGCATATCACAAGTTGAGATCTCATCTAGGCGCTGAGTTGCTGAGCACCGAAGATAATTGAGGTGTGCAGGGTCAATACAGTTTGTCCACGATGGGTCAAGCAACGACCCCTCCATACCCGGAGGGCATTTTCTCTCTTCTGGATACAGATTTGTATAAGCTGACAATGCAATGCGCTATTCTGAAATACTTTCCTGATGTTCGTAAGTTTTTGTCTCCGGTCATACAGCATAGAATTGCTTTGACCGAATTTCCTGGGCAGATGTTACATATGGCTTCACGAACCGTACCCCGCAAATGAAGTTGACGCGGGGTGCTTATAAATGGCTCCTGGAACAAATGGACAGTATGTGAATCTGCTCTACTCAGCCTGTGATATCTTGGTATTGACACCTCGTCCTGGATAGGACTTGCCAATGTCCGTGTGACCGATGAGGAGTTGGCTTTCCTGAAGAAGCAATGCCCATACTTCAACCATGCCTACCTTCGATACCTGACTACGTTCCAACTCAAGCCTCCGGAGCAGATTGACATCAAGTTCACACCTGTACAAGACACGGGTAGCGATGAAGACTTGGGAGATATTGAATATATGGTCAAGGGGCTTTGGGTTGAGACTATCCTTTACGAGATCCCACTCCTCGCCTTGACAAGTCAGGCGTACTTCATGTTCACCGACAAGGATTGGGATCACAGCAATCAAGAGGAGAAGGCCTTCCGCAAGGGGTGCACTTTGCTCGAGAACGGATGCATATTCTCCGAATTCGGCTCCCGACGTCGACGCGATTACCATACTCAGGACTTGGTCATGCAGGGGCTATGCCGGGCTGCTGAAGAGGGAAAGCGACAGGGTTGGAAGGGCGTCTTGTCAGGAACCAGCAATGTGCACTTTGCGATGAAGTATGGCGTGACTCCCATTGGTACCGTGGCCCACGAGTGGTTCATGGCCATCGCTGCCATCACGGACGATTACGAGAATGCGAACGAGCTGGCTCTCCGCTACTGGCTCGGATGCTTCGGCGAAGGGGTATGTATCAGTTCCTTCTCAGACGACGCAGACAAGTCATTCATTATTGTATTAGGTCCTCGGCATCGCCCTCACCGATACATTCGGTACCCCGGCTTTCCTTGATGCCTTCCGGAAGCCGATCCCTCACCACACCAGCGCAGGTGTCGGTGCCGTCTCCACGACTGCATCGGGAGCGAACACAACAAGCGAGTCACAGCCTCAGAGCGAGGCCGAGACCAAGCCACCTATTACCGCTCCCCTTCACGAGAACGACTCCCAGCATTCTCCCAAGACATATGCGCAAGTCTTCACAGGCGTTCGTCAGGACTCCGGCGACCCAGCCTACTTCGTCAAGATGGTCCGCGACTTCTACGACAAAGAGGGAATCAAAGAGAAGAAGACTGTCGTGTTTTCAGATTCGCTGAACATCGAGCACTGTCTGGAGTACAAAACCATTGCCGAGGAGGCCGGGTTCGCCCCCGTCTTCGGTGTCGGGACTTTCTTCACCAGTGAGTTCGGTCCCGTCTAGTTTCACGTCAGCAGCTCCGCTAACTCTTCGACTTACAGACGATTTTACGAATAAATCCGACGGCAAGAAATCGAAGCCGCTCAACATCGTCATCAAGATCGCTACGGCCAACGGCCGCCCAGCCGTCAAGTTAAGCGACAACATGGGCAAGAATACGGGCGACAAAAGTATGGTGCAAGAGGTGAAGAAGAGGCTAGGGTACATCGAGCAATACTGGGAGGAAGGGGATGAGAGCAATCGCTGGGCAAAGCAGAGGTAGCATATGCTCCTACTGTTGTTTAACGAGCTGAAGCAGCTCTTGTACATCTTGTACATCGAAATACGAACCATGGGATAGACTCGACCTAGATTTAGATTATTCATTGATGGCTACCTGATTGTGTATATTTCTTATACAACAGCGACGAACATGCTTTTTTTGGATGATGCTCGATCTACAGCTACATTCAATGGAACGATCCTATGCATAGTAAAAATAATTTGTATTGGTAATCTTGTACAATTTAGAAGCGAACGGTGGATATCACAAAAGCAGCCTAATCCGATACACCGGCTCGAAAGTAAGTCAACCAAAGAAAATCGTCATCGTGCAGGACGTCATTAAGATGAATCAAGTGCCAGACCCAGATCCGTGTCTAAATCGCCAGTGATACCGCAATGACTATGGCCTACCGAGCCTGTCCCGGAATAATCTGCATTTAGCTCTGGGCCTCCTAGGAGTTCGTCTGTCCAGTCCACGTCTAGTTCCTGGACTGAGGAGATATTCGTGTCTAGAGGCAGGAAATCAGGGAAGGAGTCGATGTCAATGCGCAGCAGATCCGCAGGAATGAATGAGCTGATTGTTTGAGGCGAAGGGAAGTTGTTGAGGTGGTCGTCAAAATCATTTGTAGGCGTAGGTTGTTGTTGCCGGTTCGTATTTTCCGGTTCATTGTAAGGTCGGGAGATAGAGGTTGCAATGCTGTGTCTCTTCGTTTGTAAGGACTCAGCGCGGTGTTCTTTGCGCTGCGCATCCAACTCGGACCTTTGCTGGGGGTTTGCTCCCACGAAGGACCCTCGCCGATCCGATGAACTATTTTCTGGCGAAAAAGCCGTATGCATGTTTGCATCGAAGCTTCGTCTCCGTAACGGCGGCTCTGGGGGTTGGAGCTGGTCGATGCTAACATTGCTGTATTCCATGATCTTGAGGAAAGTGCCAACACTATCGGACTGCACTTTGACTGCGGCTTCAATGTTGGCGACTTCCATGTCCGCGGCGGGGTAGAGATCTCTCAGGCCCCGAAGAACCTGGATGCATCTCTGAAAGTGGTGAAGGCTAGTTTCTCGGAGGGTGGGGTTGTTGGACATGATATTCGACAGGTGTGCCACGGCTGCTGGTATGATCACAGTGACGCCAGATTGAGGTAGGAAGCGAGTCAGATTTAACTGATTGAGCCCCTGTATAATGTGTGTGATTCCTAAAGCTGCATCGTGCATCTTCGATCGCGCAGTTTGCGTTATTTCAGCGCGCGATTTATCCGGATCCCGGCCATAAGCCCACGGCCTGTGCAGCGCGCTTATGGTCGCATGATAGAGCATTCGTAGCATGGCACCATGAAGTAGAAGAACGTCTTCTCCGTCCGTGAAGTTGGTTTTGGATGCGGGAATGTATTGCGCATCCTTCGGCAGGGCGCTGAGCCACGAGTCCAGTCTTTGGCTGCATCGAGCCAGCTCAGATTCCGAGGCCTGCCGCGGAATAAGTGTAATGGTGGTTCTATTGGTCACACCAAACTGGCACTGAGATGTTGTGTATTGCGCGAATAATACCCGGCCAATGCTCTGGCAAAGCTTAGCTTTTTCAATGAACATAGTCGCTAGTCGTTTCTGGTGGGACACATCCTCCAGTTGACGGCAGCGAAATATCTCAATCACGGACGGATGAAAGGGCTCAAAGTCAAAGTCGTCCAGTCGCAACATCGGAACGCTACTGGTTCCTTCATTGATCTGGGTTGGTCGCCTCAACCCCATGGCAATAAGACGGTCTCGACAGTACAAGCTCCACCACAGGCGGACCCGTAACCGTTTCATTCTGGGATCCATGTCGGATGCGGTGGGGTCTCTGTTCAATCCAATAGAGTGGGCCTGCGTGTTGCATATTCCTATCCAATCCCAAATGTCTCTTTGTGGGTTGTTGACGTGGTCCGACCAATACGTCATTAAGAGGAGCGTCTGCAAGATGGCGATTCGATCTTCTTCACAGTCGAGCGAATAGAGCAACTGATGTAAAGAATTAGATATGGCCTTGACCTTTTCCTGACAGAGTACATACCCTTAATCGTTCATAGAAAGCATTCCGTGCACTCTTTCGTGTCGTATAACCAGCATCTTGCAGATGTTTAAAGTCCACGAATGCCGTGGCAACAAACATCACGGCTTGGAACAAGAGGAGGCTTATGTTCCCTTCGGGGTCATTTTCTGCGACACATCGCAGGAACTCTTGCAGATTCAGGACCGGCATGAAACTGTGCACCCATTGAATATAGCATCTTAGTAGCTCATTCCGCAGTCCGCTCTCGGGAATCGAAAGTGCGCCTCGAAATCTCAGAAACTCCAGGTCTTCCGATGATATCCGACTAGGTAGAGGCTTTAGGAAACGCGGTTCGTCATCAAGGATTGCGATGAGAGGGTCAAAATCCGGATCAATAAGATCTTGTACTGTGGAGACCATGTTGGCCAGCGGAAGGGTATGTTGAACGGCGGGGTTCCCAGCTGTTCGTCGACCTAGCGACGGTTTGGAGTCAAAGAGCCATGGCGCCCGGGCATCGTACCCAAGAAGGCTGCCCTTTTTGGTGTTGGGGTTCTCTGCATCAATGTCTACGTTAGACAGCTTGCGCTTGGTGGTTACCATCCTGAGGGAGGTAATTTGGATACGGCTGCACCTGCAGCAAAACGATGCAATCTGATATACATGGACCGGATCTGAGCGGCCCAAGAAGACTCAAGAAGGGAATCGATGCGCTTGTCTGGTTCTAGGTCTGCACATGATCACATCGTGGACAGCTATCTCCCCGGCCACTGGAGTAAAGCCGTCTTCGGAGTTTGTGCGGGGTTTTTGCGGGGACTTTGACACCTTCTGGCGTCTTGGCGATATCAAATGGGCATTATTGGTCTAGACTGATGGAATCATTCTTCAATGGAGCTCTAGAAAAATGATAGCAGAGGATACAGGACTATGCGTCCCAATGCTTGTGCGATAATATTTGCTGGCAGCTCTCTGACAGAGGCGTTGGAATACCTCAGGAGCGTTGGGATCAGGCGCTAGAAAATAACCTGAGGCACCATCACTCTTCATTCAGGATTTTCAGGATTCTGATTTATTCTGATTTTGAAGAAAGGCACTGAAGACACGAAGATGTCAGTCTACTCATGGTCCTGGTCACAATCAGGGAGCAATGCCGCTTTTCTCCAGCAAAGTCCCCTTGTCGTTTCTACGGACATGCGACCTCCATCTTACTTTCCCGGGAACAGAGGATCAGACCAAAAAGGTGACAAGCGCCCAAAGGCGCAAAATGTCATGTAATAGTAGATCCCATGTAGTTAGACGGAGACGGGGGGGAGAAGCGACTGATCAGCGTCGGAAAAGAGAACCGCGCTGCTCGAGGATCATGTTTCGATAACGTATTTGCTCTCCTTTTGATGCAAATTTGCTACTTGTGAATGATTAATCCTTTGAGTGACCAAGCAAGATCAGACAGCACAGCCCTCGCACCACCATGTCTATCAGAACGCCATTTCATATTCAATGTAGAAGCTGGGTAATCCGAGTATCCACCCAAAATATGTATGCCCACAAAAGCGCAAAATATAGTACATGTAGCCATTAAATCAAGGCCGGGACGAAATATCTTAACAGAAAAGTGTCCTCATTCGTGTCATGATCGAGTGGTTGTCGAAAACTCTGAGGCCTATACCAAAGGTTCAAGCCGCGGATGTCCAGAATTTCATCTGAGTTTGTTCACAGACTGTTCCAGTCAGTTTCTGTCCCGAGAATGGTGTTGAGAGCTGCGCTAGGGATCAAACGCATGAGATGTATGATTCGACTTACGGAGGGAGGAGGAACTCGCTGAGGCTGCTGTGAAGGAACGCAACGCCGGCCTAAGGATTTGAAGCGTTAGCCGTGATCCTTCCAAGGAAGCTTCGGAAAGAATAAGATAAGAGGCACTTACACCAAAGACCAGAAGGCTTCTGACGATGGTGGCATTCTCAGGCGCGGTCAGCTCTTCATATGCAGCTCCGAGGAAGCCCTTCTGGGGGCGACCGGAGCTGGCAGCAACGACACGCTGGTTGGGAGCCATGATATGAGCTGAAGATGAGGATGGATATTTGTAGTGTAATAGCTCAGAGTAGCTTATTATGGCGATCAAGGAACAGACGTTAAGATGATAGATAATTGATGGACTGCGGAGGAAACGCCGCCCCGAGAAATCTTTCAATTACTCGGTCCTTGGCATTGCTAATTGCGTCTCTAGCTTGTCCCGGCACCCGTACCTCCTCCAAAGTAGCTTGCGCGACCAATTGTAAGAAAAGTGATTGCAAGAATACATACTCGAAAGAGAGCCTGATAGTCATCTTCGGGGGCTGAAAGTAATTTTCCTCTTGCTATATTGCTGGTGCCTCCAAGCTTGCTGCCCCATCCTTTGCAGGAAAGTCTTCTGTACCCTCCTGCGCGCCGGGCACCTCGCAACCATGACGAGCATCGACGACCTCTTTAAGGTACAGGTTCCTCAACGTATTATCATTAGATCGAAGCTAATTGCAATAAGAAACCTCTTTCGGCAGCGAGCGCCAAGCGCAAGCTAGAGGTTGCACAAGATCCGAGTATGCTCCCATACGTCCCAGGGCCTAGCCATCCTACAAGTCCGTTTGCTCATGCGCAATGTCAGATGAGCTTTACAAAGCAGCGAAGTTAGACGCGAATGGTGATGTCAAGTCGAAAGGAAAAGCACCGATGGTGGAGGAAGACGTTGAGGACGACGGCGAGGCCGGTCCGGAACTACCACCTGATTTCGATGCCGAGGATATCCCAGACGACGAAGAAGGGCGATTCTTCGGGGGAGGAATGGAGCGCAAAACAGCCCAGGCAATGCAATACATCGACCAACAGGATGAAGGAGAGGCAGCGGTATGGAAGGATCTGAGACAGCAATGTCAACCTAGACCCAGCACTAACGCTGCTTTAGCCCGAGAAATTCGATTCTGCCTGGTTGCGACGGCTGGCGCTCACCTTTGAAAGGAAAATATCGAAAAACGCCGAGCTCCGCGGCAAGTTTGAGAATGATCCCCAGAAGTGAGTTGACTGGGCCTCACTGCTTGATGAGACGAATAGTGCTCACGATGTGCCCAGATTCATGACTTCGGAAGCCGATCTAGACACGGAGATCAAAGGACTCTCAATCTTATCTGAACACCCCGAATTATATGCAGAATTCGCCAAGTTGGGATGTGTGGGCTCTCTAATATCATTGCTGTCCCATGAGAACGCAGATATTGCCATTGACGCAATCCAGATCATCAACGAGTTGACGGATGAAGATGTAGAGGCTGAACAGGAACAGTGGGATGCTCTCGTCAATGCATTGGTATGTGCTGCCTTTGCTTCACGGAACGACTGCTGACGATATAGTTGGATGCCGACCTCATTGAGCTTCTGACTCAAAATCTGTCACGGTTGGATGAAGCATCTGAAGCTGATAGAGCAGGCGTATACTATGTGCTAAGTATGCTCCTCTCTGATTTATATTTTGTTAAAGCATGACGCTAACTTTCGTAACCAGACGTCCTGGAAAACCTGGCTTCTCAAAACACAATCGCGGAAAAGATTGGTCAAGAGTCGACCGTGTTATCGTGGCTTCTCTCTCGCATACAGCAGAAAGAAAATCCAGTCAGTCAAAATAAGCAGTACTCCGCAGAGGTTTTGGCCATTCTGTTACAATCATCTCCCAAAACCCGAGCAAAATTCATTGGCCTTGATGGTGTCGATATTCTACTTCAACTACTCAGCCACTACCGCAAACGCGACCCTGAAAAGGACTCGGACGAGGAGGAGTATGTGGAGAATCTTTTCGACTGTCTGATATGTCTTGTCGACGAAGATTCTGGCAAGGAGAAATTTCTGGAAGGCGAAGGCATTGAGCTTGCTCAGATTATGCTGAAGGAAGGCAAATTTAGTAAGCAACGTGCCTTGCGAGTCCTTGACCATGCTCTGGGTGGATTGGGAGGCGGCCCTGCGTGCGAGCGTCTAGTCGAAGTTGCAGGTCTGAGAACAATTTTTGGAATGTTCATGCGAAAGGTAGGCGTCTTCTCTAACTAGACCCTCACCGGCTGTAACTAACTCCAAACAGCAAGAAAGCCAGACAATCGAACATCTGTTGGGAATCTTTGCTTCTTTGTTACGCCTCTTACCAGGAGGTTCGGCTCCACGCATTCGTACCCTTGCCAAATTCATGGAAAAGGACTACGAAAAGATTGTGAAGCTCGTGAAGCTAAGACGGGACTATGCTTCAAGGGTGTCGCCTGTTGAACAAGCCATTGAGGAGGAACGGAAGAACTACACAGACGAAGAGCAAGAAGTCATGGCTGCAGAATGGCTCTCTAGACGCTTTGACGCGGGTCTTTTCTCTCTGCAGGTTTGTTTGACATCACTCACCTTTGTAGAACTGATTGACTAACATTCATTTCACCCACAGTTAATTGATGTTTTACTGGCGTGGCTGGTGGCTGAGGATGATGGAGCAAAACAGAAAATCATTTCACTATTAGCAGATAGGGATGAGGATCTGTCCATTATCAAGGCGACGTTGAAAGGTAAGCAGGATTCACTGGAAGAAATTCCCTTCTTACGTACTAACTTCTTTTCAATCAGAGCAAATGGAGGGACTTGCAGATGATGAGCCTGGGCAAAAGGACCATAAGGAAATGCTCGGGACCTTACTACAATTCTTATAGAATGCAGCGTATCAATGCATGTCATGAATAGTAAAGACGAAATTTCGGGAGATTCGAGCGATGATAATCGCCATCTTCACATACCATGGTCCATTCGTAGGCCAATAGAAGTAGCAATATCACGTGGCGCAATTGCCTATTCTGTTCTAGTCAAGGACTAGCGCCAAGTCGGGGTCGAGGCGCTAGTGGCGGCTCTCTGCTCAAGATCCATCAGCAGCCGGAGAATCGAAGCGTCCAGCTTTGCTCCATCCAACATCCTCTGCTGCAGGGGATCTCTCACTTTCCATCAATAAAACTGGGATCCCGACTTAGTGAACCCTCTTAAGTGTCGCTTTTCAGGCACACTTACGCCGGTCTCACTGCTCGTCGCAGCAGTTGATCAACACGGAAGTGGGATCTTTTCTTGTTTGAGCGCGTCGCTCCCTCCCTGCGCTCAACACATTTTTCATTAATCGCCCGTCTCAAACCGATCCGATTCCTGTCAAAATGGCCGAATACGACGATGCGTACGAGGAGGAGTTCTACGATGAGATGGAGGAGGGGATCACGTCGGAGGACTGCTGGACGGTTATCTCCTCCTTCTTCGACACGAAGGGTTTGGTATCGCAGCAGCTGGACTCTTTCGATGAGTTCATCTCATCAACGATGCAGGAGCTGGTAGAGGAACAAGGCCAGGTCACCCTCGACCAGACGCTGCCTCCTTCGGATGATGAAGTCGACCCCGTCGTTCTCCGTCGGTACGAGCTCAAGTTCGGAACGGTCATGCTCTCACGACCTTCGGTTACTGAAGGTGATGGTGCGACTACCATCATGTTGCCTCAGGAGGCTCGTCTGCGAAATCTCACCTACGCCAGCCCGCTCTACCTCGGTATCACTAAGCGAATCATGGAAGGTCGGGAACGGCTGATTGCGGATCGTGATGAGGACGACACAGTGCCAGATGCGGACGAGGACAGAAAGGCCCGTGGGACATATTTGCAGTGGGAACAGAAAGAACTCCCCGCTGATCAGGCCAAGGAGGAGACGGTGTTCATCGGAAAGATGCCCATCATGCTCAAGTCCAAGTACTGTATCCTAAAGGATCTGAGCGAGCAGGCGCTTTACAACTGGAACGAATGCCCCTACGACTCTGGTGGTTATTTCATCATCAACGGAAGTGAGAAGGTTTTGATTGCTCAAGAGCGAAGCGCCGGAAACACAGTGCAGGTCTTCAAAAAAGCGCCACCAAGTCCTACACCCTACGTTGCCGAGATTCGAAGTGCGGTCGAGAAGGGTTCCCGACTACTCTCGCAATTGTCTCTTAAGCTTTTTGCTAAAGGAGACAGCGCCAAGGGTGGATTTGGTCCTACGATCAGATCGACTCTCCCCTATGTTAAGACGGATATTCCCATCGTCGTTGTTTTCAGAGCACTGGGTGTGGTTTCGGACGAGGATATTCTCAACCATATTTGTTACGACAGAAATGATACACCCATGCTCGAGATGCTGAAGCCCTGCATTGAGGAAGGTTTCGTCATCCAGGACCGCGAGGTTGCCTTGGACTTTATCGCCAAACGTGGATCTTCTCAGTCCAGCATGAACCACGAGCGTCGTGTTCGATACGCACGAGAGATTATGCAGAAGGAGTTACTTCCCCATATTTCTCAGAGCGAAGGCAGCGAGACGCGCAAGGCCTTCTTCTTGGGTTACATGGTTCACAGACTCTTGCAGTGTGCTCTCGGTCGTCGCGATGTTGATGATCGTGATCACTTCGGAAAGAAGAGACTTGACCTTGCCGGCCCTCTGCTTGCCAATCTTTTCCGAGTTTTGTTCACGAGAGTCACTCGGGATCTCCAGCGGTATGTCCAGAGATGTGTGGAAACTAATCGTGAAATCTACTTGAACATCGGTATCAAGGCCAGTACCTTGACTGGAGGTCTGAAATATGCCCTCGCCACCGGTAACTGGGGAGAACAGAAAAAGGCAGCAAGTTCGAAGGCAGGTGTCTCACAGGTGTTGTCACGTTACACCTATGCCTCCACCTTGTCACATCTTCGCCGTACCAACACACCAATTGGTCGTGATGGTAAGATCGCGAAGCCTCGTCAGCTTCACAACACCCATTGGGGGCTGGTTTGTCCTGCGGAAACTCCTGAAGGTCAAGCTTGTGGTCTGGTCAAGAACCTGGCTCTCATGTGTTATATCACTGTCGGTACACCCAGCGAGCCCATCATCGATTTCATGATCCAGCGCAACATGGAAGTTCTTGAGGAGTTTGAGCCTCAAGTGACACCCAATGCAACGAAGGTTTTCGTGAACGGTGTTTGGGTCGGTGTCCACCGAGATCCCGCGCACTTGGTCAATACCATGC